ACAAGCCCGAGTGCCCTTCCTAAGCATTTTTATTGGTGTTCTCAGAGCAACGTGGATGGCCAGCCCTGAAAGGTGCGTTTGCGGGGAGCACGCAGCATCTTTTCCTGGCATGCTTATTTCTTGCAAGATGAGAGCAAGCATATGTTTGCTTCTGAGTTCAGGCCAGCTTGTACCCAGTTTATATCTGGAAAAGTCAGGGGTTGATTCAAGAAGCAAACCCGGCCCCCATTTCTTGGCTTGCAGATCAGAGGACACGGGCAGGGAAAAGTAGCACGAGGGGGCTGAGGATCAAACCCTGCCCGCTGAGGAGCTTGGAGCCCAGCTCCAGAGCACTGTCTGCTACAGGGATGTGGAGGAAAGTCGGATCTGGACATAGTGCCAGTGGCAGGTGGGAAGGCCACTTTGTGCTCAAAGAAATTCAGCCTCGGGGGACCCCTGAGTCCGTTCCTTCGCATGGAGTCCAAGCAGCTCGGCCTTGAGCTCAGGTGAAGATGTGAGGCCACGGGACTTATTTTTAATGTCATTTTACCGCAGAAAGAGGAAGGACGGGTTTGTGGTTAAGGCACTGGAGTAAGACACACAAGGTCTGTACCCTGGGTTCATTCCTGTCTCTCCGCCACAGGCTCCCTGTGTGGCCCTGGGCAAGTCACTCTCTGGGCCCAAGTGGATGGGGGACAAGCACCATTAGCCATGCTTTCCCTATCTTGCCTGTTCGCAATGCAAGGCCTTCACGAAGGAGACTGTCTGCCTCTTCCTATACAAGAGGGGTCTTGTAGACACAAAAACTTAAGAACAGTGATATTCCAAGGGCAGCAATCGGTCCCTTAGCTTTCCTGTCTTCTCCTTCCCAAATGAAAGCCTGGGGAGGGGAGCATCCAGAAAGAGAAACGCGCACGATGGATGGAATATTATTTTAAGAGCTCTGGTTGCCTGATTGATTTCCAGAGCTAATAAATCCTTGGCTGTGCTCGCTGCATTGAAATATATGCCCAGGCAAGATTCATGATGTGCTCTCAGGAAAGGGAAGAGTGCGAAAAAATGGCCCGACCAAGATTAAGTGCTTTAAATTTGGCAGCTCTAATTGTTTTATTAATAAACCTTTTATAGGGTTACATTATTTATTACTTCTAATTAAACAGCTACCTACTAGATTTAAAAAAAGGAAAGAAGCAGTTGGGGAAATCGGGACAAGTGCTTGCTTCTCGAGCTCATTACTCATGTGAGAGTCGTAATGCCCGTGGAGTCGTGCTGGCCTGGCTCTCCGTGCGGGGAGGACGTCCCCCCATTACAGCAGAAGCCCCGTGCATCACTTAGCTCCATGTGGGTACAAAGTGTGGGACTCGTGCTCAGTCTGCATGGGACCGAACATCACTGTAGGTCCGGGGTCCTCTCTTTCCCACCCTCTGCAGACAGGTGACAACAGGAAAAGGTTTTATCATTCAGTCACAGACAGTGAGGGTTGAAAGGACCTCAGCGGGTTGCATCTAGTCCAACCCCCTGCTCCAAGGAGGACCAGCCCCAACTCCATCATCCCAGCTAAGGCTCTTAAAAATGTCCAAGGATGCAGACTGCACCACCTCTCTGGGTAACCTGTTGCAGGGCTTCACCACACTCCTGGTGAGAAAGTTTTTCCTAATATCCGTCTTCAACTTCCCCTGCTGCAGCTTGAGCCCATTGCTCCTTCTATCATCTGCCCCCACTGAGACCAGCCCAGCTCCCTCCTCTTTGCAGCCCCCCTGCAGGCAGGTGAAAGCTGCTATTCAATCCCCCTCGGTCTTCTCTTCTGCAGACTCAATCAGCCCATTTCCCTCAGCCTCTCCTCACCAGTCCTGTCCTCCAGCCCCACAACCATTTTCATTGCCCTCCGCGGACTCTCCCCAGTTTGTCCACATCTTTCTGTCTTCCCCCCTCCCCATTTTTCCTTGAAGCATCCTTGAAATACAGATGACCCTCCAGCCCAGTGCAAGCTAGTGGTTGGCGTCAGGGCTCTTTTAAATGAAAGCTTTTGGTTTGTTTCTTGCATGTCCCTCCCCTGCATTTGGTAGTGGTTTTTGTTTGGGGAATTAATTTCCTGCCTCCCGGGAAGACTGTCTGGCGCCTGGAGTGAAGAGGGCGGATGCAGAGCGATCGAGGGGAGAGCCAGGCTTCATGCAGCAGTGCCCAGCCTTTCTGCCCGTGGGTTGGATGAGTAGGGTGGAATTGGTCCGCAGGTCAGATCCAATGCATGGGCCACATCCAGGACATGGGACTGGGCCCACTCTAGCATGCAGCATTGGACTGGCTGGGGGCTGATCCAGCCAGTGTCCCCAGTCCAGCGTGCAGGACTAGCCTGGCATATAGCAGGGCCATGTCATGTGGCCCACGGGACTTAGAAATTTCGCGTGGAGGAGCAGTGTCGGGGTTAATTGCCACTTTCCCTGCTGCCGAATTCCCAGACCCAAGGCGAGCCACGTAGGCTGGGTGACACGGCTCCACGGGCTGGACGTGACCTGCAGGCCAGAGGCTGATCACCGCTGCTCTAACACCCGAGATCCTTCTGGGTGTTATTTCACACTTCTTTACCTGGAATGACCGAGCAATATTTAGGAGAAGTCTTACGTAGAGTTTAGACGATGACTTTGTCCAGGATGGTTTGGCCAGGGCTGATCCTGCCCCAGGCATGGGTTGGACTAGATGAGGTCCCCTCCAGCCCCGCTTTATGGAGGTGCTACTGCCTACATCTACACCAGAGACAACTGACCCCCAGAAAGGGCGAGAAAGACCAAACCTAGGCTTGTCAGGAGAAACGGGATAGGAATATTTAAGTTTGATGCAACGGGGAATATAGTCCCTTGCTAGAGCAGTCAAAAATGTTCCGTTTTTTTGATTATTTTGAGGAGAATAAAGCACGTGTTTTTCATTTCATGGGCAGTTTTCGGTGGCTTTTTTCTTTCTACTGAGATTTCATTAGAAACATATCAGCTTTGGGCTTTTTTTTTTCCATGAAAATCCCCCAAATTGACAAAGCTCGAATTTTTCTCATGCACTTTTCGAATGCAGTCAACTATTTTTTGTTGGGAAAAACATGTTCATGTAATGCTTTCCACTGTTTCCACTCCCGAAATGGCCGGTGTGGGGTTGGGTTTGCATCCTTGTTTTACCAACCTCCGAGATAATTGGTTCAAACTTTTGTTCCAGCGGGATCTCATTCACTCCAAAGGAAAAAACAATAATCACAATGAAGACAATGATCTTTACTAGAGAGGCTCTCGGCAGGAAGGCTTTTTTCCTAGAGAATCAGCCCACGTTTTTTAAATTCAAGATGGGAACAGATTAACTCAATCACCGAATGTACCTTGTCTAATGATTCCTCACCTGTTTGTGCGGCTGCTTGCGGACGCTGATTTATTCATATCACACAACTGTTTAATTCTTGGTTGCCATCCTTGGTTGCAGAAAGAGGCTTAATAATATACCTAGGTGGAAATCAAGAAAAACAATCGATCGGAGCATACTGGCATGGCTTATTGAAGTATGAGCATGCCCATAACGGAGAAACAGCCTATACCCAATGACGAACCAAGTTTGTTCCTTTGACTTCCATAATCTTTAGTTTTCAGAGCGTGTGTACTCGGCCCTGATAAAGCCCCCGCGGTTGGTAATGCTTTTTTTGAATTCCTCTCCCTGTGCAATTTGGAGCGCGGTGTCTCTGGGTGATGGAAATGTCAGCGCTGAGCACAGGTCTAAGGACTCCTCCGGGCACGATCGATGTCTAGTTTGCAGTGTCCCTCTTGCCCGAAGGAAGAGTCAGTGCATTTCAGGCAGTTCTTCTGGCATGCTGTGGAGTTGCTGCATTTTATTGGCTCGAAGTAATTCATCATATCAGCAGCGAGATTTTCCAGGCTCTGAAGTTAAATGCGCATCATAAGGGCAAGCAAAATGTTGTTTGCCGGTGATACTGCCATTCACCCGCGCTGACAGAGACATGATGTATAGGAAAAGGTGTGATGTTTGCCGCTAGACTAATGTTTCTAAGGTCTGGATCTGAATATAAATCCCCGATGAAAGCAGCAATTAACCAACTAAGTCACTGACTTTAAGGAACTTACTTTATTGCATGAGCGAGTTGATTCTTGCGGGCGAGTTATGCAAGGAAACCGAACATGCTAGCAAATGTTATCTCAGTGTTTTGTAATGCTGAAAGGACCTGATGTTTAACTAGCACTACAGCCCTCCCAGAAGTAATTCCCCATTTCTCAAGACGTGTCCAGATTTTATATGACTCCCAGTGAGATGGCTCCTCCGAAAATATTGCTGCTATTTCACACCAGCTCTTAATCCATAAAGGCCGAGTGTTCGCGGGCTTGTTTCTAGGGACTCATTTGTGTCTCTGGTCTTAAAATTAATGTGACTCTTGATGTCGCTGCCAGGGTTTTCTTTGATCAGGGCATGGCTGTGCAAAAGCTGTACCGGAGACTGCTGCCCGGGCGTATCTGCTCATCAGAACAAGACTGATCCTTCTGGCCCGTACCGCAGCGTTGCATCCAGCCTACCTTTATATCGTTCAAATTACCAGCCCTTTCACCCATACCCTCAGAAGCCAATCCTAAAGCCGCACACTTTTGCTATGAAATGCTGTTCAGATGACCTTATCCCCAAAATAAATTGGCTCCTTTGTTTTTTGGTCTCAGAGTGGTGTGCCCTAAGCCTGGCAGCTTGGGATAGACCCATAACCTTTTGGGGTTACTCTCAAAAGTTGTCTTGGGCCCCTAATCACTAGCCACGTTTATATTGCTGCTAGCGTGCCAGCCTGCCTCACTCAAAGTGAGTATATTGTGCTTTATTAGCGTTTGGAAGAGACACGTTTTCATTTTATTCAGGGGGACGTGTAGTCATCCAAAGACTTTGGTAGAAAAAAATAGCAACCAAGAGTGATCTTTAAAGTGAGACGCTATCGTACTTTGAGGCGTAGGTTATGCCCACCCAGAGACCTCATGCGATGCATGTTCTTCTCTTCCCAGGGCGGGTACCCTGGTTCTGGCCCAGCGTCAAATGCTCCTGTCTTCAGACCAGAGGATGAGCTGGAGCACCTGACCAAGAAGATGCTGTACGACATGGAGAACCCTCCCTCGGATGACTACTTTGGTAAGTGCCACATCACACTCAATAAATCTCACGGTGCCCCTTTACATATTTGCCAAGGTCCATCCTGGGGAGATGTGACAAGTGAGTGCAGTGTAACGGCGACGGGGTTTGTCATGATGGATTCGTTCAGCACGCTTGGGCTGGAAGTGTAATCATCCGTAGGAATCCCTCTGTAATTTCAGCATAAATCTGATGCTTGCTCGCTGTGTGTTTTAAGTCTTAGCAATGATAAAGTGGAATTGTTCAGTGCCTGATTCATTGTAATGCCCTCTACCAGCTGCCTCGATAGGTATTGGTCCAACTCCATAGGGGCTCGTTCTGATTTCACATATGTTAGGCACCAGTCAGATTGTGCTGACTCTACACAGGTGTACGTGAGATGAGCAGGGTCCTGCAGCCTTCAAAGGGAGCTACACCAGAGCAGGATGTGGCCCATTGCAGCTGCACCATTCTGGCTGGACAGGAACATCAGGCTCAGAGGGTAGTAGGCAATGCCTCTGTCTAGTTGGCAGCCAGTATCAAGTGGAGTGTCCCGGGGTTGGTCCTGGGCCGGTTTTGTTCAATGTCTTTGTCAACGACCTGGAAGATGGGATGGATGCACCCTTAGCAAGTCTGCAGATGACACTGAGCTGCGGGGAGTAGTAGATATGCTGGAGGGTCAGGCTAGGATTCAGAGACACCTTGACGCATTGGAGGTTTGGGCCAAAAGAAATCTCCTGAGGTTCAACAAGGACAAGTGCAAAGTCCTGCATTTAGGACAGAGCAATCCCCTGCACTGGTGCAGACTGCAGGTGACTGGCTAGGCAGCAGCTCTGCAGAAAAGGCCCTGGGGGGACAGGGGACAAGCAGCTGGACAGGAGCCATCAGTGTGCCCTTGGTGCCAAGAAGGTGACCGTCATCATGACCTGCATTGGGAGGAGCGTTGCAGTGGATTAAGGGCAGTGATTCTTCCCCTCTATTCAGCACTGGGGAGGCCACATCTGGAGTCCTGTGTCCAGCTGTGGGCCCCCCACTGCAGAAAGGATGTCGACACATTGGAGAGAGTCCAATGAAATTGGTTGTGGGGCTGGGGGACAGGACTAGGGAGGAGAGGCTGAGGGACCTGAGCTGATGTAGTCTGCAGAAGGGAAGACCAAGGGAGATTGAATAGCAGCCTTCACCTCCCTGCAGGGGGGCTGTAAAGAGGATGGAGCTGGACTGGTCTCAGTGGGGGCAGATGACAGAAGGAGCAATGGGCTCAAGCTGCAGCAAGGGAAGTTGAGGTTGGATATTAGTAAAAACTCTCTCACGAGGGTGGTGAAGCACTGGAACAGGTTACCCAGAGCGCTGGTGTCGTCTCCATATTTGGAGGTTTTGAAGACCCGGGGAGACAAAGCCTTGGCTGGGATGGTGTAGTTGGGGCTGGTCCTGCTTGGAGCAGGGGGTTGCGCTAGATGTGAGGTCCTTTCCCACCCTCATTTTCTATTATACGATGACACTAGGATCCACGTCATCCTGAGGTCCTGAAATCTGATTGATGTCCCCAACCTGAGTTCGAAAGGAAGCAAGTCCCAAAGAGCTCTGCTGTTTTTTGGAAACACCACTAACTGGCAGGAATGATGATTAGCACACAGCCCTCTGTTCTGCCGAATCCTTCCTCAGTTGTGTTCAGCCTGTTATACTGTGTTAATGACCTGAGAAAAAGCAGCCTTGGCTAATTATGTCTCAGAAGGGGAAAAAGAGAAGGATGATCCTGGGACACAACCCTGATCTCTAGCTGGAGGAGGACGTCTTGTCCTTAAACTTAAAAACTCCCTTCTCCTCTTTCATGTGGGAAGGACATTGCTCTGGGTCAGGACTTGATGCGTTTTGAGGCAGGTGCTGACTGAGCTGCACCCTGTGTCTGGATGAAAGCAGCTATCCACCCCGGCTGGTGGATTGAGCCAGCGTTAAACTCACGGAGGGCAGGGAGGTGGTGGGGATTTGAGTGTGGGAGTGGAAAGAAAAGCCCTTGCAATGGTTCATGGTTAACTGTCCAAACCATTATTTCTGCCTTTGCATCTGCTCTCCATTTCTTTAACGTAGTCCCCTGGACTCCACAAGTTGAAGCATCATGTGGCGCATGGATCAAATGATAAGGAAAAGGACAAATGGGCAGAGACGTCGACTCTGATTTGCATTAAATATCGTCCGCCCAAGGTCTAAGTGCCGTGGTAATTGTAGCATACCCGATATCTGTCAGCTAATCGCTTTATTAGCTTGAATTTAGAAAACTGGATTTCAGCGTATTCAAAGTTGGTTAAGAGCAGATCAGTCTTGAATCGAGGAATCTAATTAACCTTGCTGGAAAGCTTCAAGGCGTTCTATTAAGTCATGAAAATAATTTGTCCCGATAATTACATTTGAACTGTCAGGCTGCAGAAAGGTCATCTTCTTTGGTCCGTCAGCACTTTGCCTCTTCCTGCTAGAGAGTGTCCCTTTCTGTGCCTGCGATTTCCATCAAGCCGCGCACGCTGTTTCCAGATACTCTGCGACACAGCTGATGTTCTCGGTAGCATTGGCAAGCCGGTTACTTGGCCAGTCAAATATTGTCAATTGACCACATATTTTCTGACCTGTCAAAGATTATAGCCATTTTACCAAAAAAAACCTATTTTTTTTTGTAGCTTTGTTGATAGAAATATGATTTTTATTTTTTTAAATATATTTCTGAGCCTATTGTCTGGACCTATTGGCATTTTTTTTTCAATTTTTGACTGATGCTTGACTGCTCAATTGACCGAACTTTATGTGACTGGTCAAATACCCAACCCTAGTGCTGAGGCATGGGAGGCCCTGAAGTCCTGTCTCCTCTTAACCCTGGAAACCTCTGGAAGAGTCCCTTAGAGACTGATCAGATGAGTTCAGAAACAGGGCAGCCTGCCATCCCATTGGCTCTTGTTTTCACCTGTCTGCACTACTGTAGCTTCACTTGATGGAGATTACTCAGGATGGTTTCAGGTGTAAGGGTTCAAGCCAATCAACATTCAAAAAGGGAATTTGCTGAGCCCAGGGGATCAAAGTCATGGCAGCGTTCATGGGCAGATGAGGTTCTTTGGGTAAATCTGATCTATTTTATAATATTACATGTGTATGTGTGTGTCTATATATCTACACACACACACACACACACACACACACACACACACACACACACACACACACACACACACACACACACTTCAAATAGTTGGAAAAGTTCTTTGCAGAGTTCATGACATTTTCCCCTGGAGGCCAGGGGCTAGGGGTGGGGTAAAAGGAAGAAGATCTGAAGACTCACTTACGCAAGAGTCACCAGATCATGCTCTGGCCTCTGTTGTATGTCTTGGGCAACCATCATTTGGGGATTTAACCCCTGAGATCTCTTCTAGCCTCCATGGTCTCTGTCTGCAGATGTGGAAATATCATTGTGAGCAGGAAGGAATTGGCCAAATGTATTGCAGTCCGCGCGCGGTCCCCATGCTGGATAGCACATTAGGTGCCGTTACATTAGGTGTTCTCACAGCAAAGTATCTGAGCATTTACAAATCTTGAATGATTTATCATTTTACAGCTGGGTGGAGAGACCTGGGATCTGATCCCGATCTTGAAATCAGTGGCAAAACTCCTTTTCGTTTCCGGGTGTTAGGAACCAGCCCTATGGGCCTCACCCCAAATACCACAGGAGGTCAGTGGTGAAGCTGGAAACGGAACAAAAGTTTCCAAAGTCCAAGGCTAATGCCCTAAGTACTGACTCCGGGAACAACCTGACATCAGAAATGACCTCTCACTGGATCCCTTTGAATGAGGGAGGATCTTGCATACAGGCTGTTCGGGTAAAGGGGGGTCTTTTCACTCCCTTCAGAAACACGGTTCTCCCTGGGGCTGAGAGCAGATTTGATCCTTTAGAGGAAAAAAACGAAGAATCATTCCTTGCTTGAAATGCAAGGGGTTGGGCTTGATTGAATTGACAGAGTTGGCATTTTGACCAAAAAAAGGGAGGCCTACCTCATTTTTGCAAGGGGTCTTTCATGGCCACGGGTGAGCTGAACCTCTGCTTTCTGTCTCATGTAAAGAAGGCGACCCTTCAGGTATTTCCTAGCATTGCTGGATGCAGCCCCTGCTTGAGACGAGGCACTGTAAAGCACAAAAACCCATGCAAACAGCTCATGGAAATGAGTCTGACAGATTCACAGCCGGCGGAGATGGAGAGAGCTATTATACTGGCCGGTCCACCAGGCAGGATTGTTTCTTCAGGATATTACACCCTCGTGTGCGTTTAAGTTATCCGAGGGGCGATGCATCCTAGAGTTTTAAAATCCCCCCGTTTTCTGCAATGAGCTTCTGCCGCAGTCTAAGGGAATGCCTCTAAGAGAGGCCCTGACTTTCTCATTATCCAGGTGGGCTGTTCATTTATTTCATCCTAGTTAATAGAAGAAGGGGAAAAAAAACCCAAACCCTCCCCATTTGAATGCATACCAGCTCCCGTAAGAAGCTTTTAAGCCGATTATTAAAAGCATGTGTTTCTTTACATGCTAATTATGCCTCGTTATGTGGTGTGTCAACACGGCTTTTGTTTAAAGTTACAGTTACGGTGCAGCGCGGCGTGCGTTCTCAGCTGAGCAACATCTGGGGCAGAAAATGGTAGGTTTTATGTGCCGTGACTGATAAGCTGACAGTCGCTTTCTGTTACATGATCAATCACGATGGCAGGAGGAAAAGAAAGGGAATGGAGACACCACCATAGCGGGCAAGGTGAGGTATTTTCCCTTCCATACAAGCTGTGTCCCAAGGCTTTTGACAGTTAGTGCAGGTGCAGAAGTAACGTCCCCTTCCAGCATGTGCAAATACAAGTAGCGTACGTGCAAATGATTAGGCACAGGCCGCCGAGAAAAGAAGATGCACATTGCTCACAGGAGCTGAGCGGGAAGCATTAGCTAGAGAGGGCTGCACTGCTGAGACAGCCTGACAGGCCTGCAGAGCAGGCGGCTTGTCTCCAGGAC